GGCCGGGTTTGGGCTTAAGTTTAAAGCCTGTGCTGACCTCTACTTCAGGCACATAACTTGTAAAATTTCAGCAATTATTAAATGACTTCTGTAGAGCTGTTTTACAGTTGAAATAGAATTGAGCTGAATAATGACACTATTGTCTTCAGTTCCATCTTTGGTTCTCTCTGATAGTCAATCAATCAAATACAGTCAAATGAATAATATTTCTGAATGTTAATTGTCATTCCCCAACTGAGCAGTGAAGGACACTTCATCTCAAGCTACAAATCAGACAAAAATGTTGGCTACCCATTTTCTGTGATCTTGACGAAATAAAAATAAAAATAAAAAACTGTTTACTCACTAAATATATACCATCTCAACAAAGTCCTGATATTATACCTTTACCAGAATCTGTGTATCACCATGGTCCTCAAAGTATGACTTAACCAGAGTCTGTGTATCACCATGGTCCTCAAAGTATGACTTGATCAGAGTTTGTGTTTAATGTCCCCAAAATGGACATAAAAAATACTGTCCCTAAAGTGAAGGCAAAATGTCAGGTCTTTAAGGAAGACTTTTATTAATAAAATCAAGTGATAAGTGTGATGACAGCTTCTCCAGAAGTGCAGTCATGTCTTTCTTTTGTCTCTAGACCCTTCAGAAAGGGGTGTCCCTAAAGGTAGGGTTCCCAGTCATACGTCCTCACATTGTGGTTAAGTAGGTATGTGTGTGTGTGTGTGTGTGTGTGTGTGTGTGTGTGTGTGTGTGTGTGAGTTTCATCAGTCAGGTGTATCTGCCACAAAACCAATAAAGATATCAATTAATGTCAATTCATGAAACATTAATTCAACTAAATACAATGAATATAACAAAAATAACTTATATAAATGTACATGTATATATGTAGTTATTTTTCAGAGCAAGGAACTAAAGATTTTGCTACAAAAACACATAAACTATAAATACTTTATTACAATTTAAATATAAAAGTTAATTTATTAAAATAAATCTGAAAGATAGATATATAGATCTATCTGTAAGAGCTGAGCTATTACCACACTCCTAAAAAAAAACATTATTTTTTTAACAAGTATTGTTTATTTTTGTTAGTTATACTTCAATGCCGGTAAATCGGTATTCTAATCTTTCCAAATGTAAATCACCTTTCCATCTTGCCATATTTTCAGGGGCCAGATCTTGTCTTTGTTTATGAGTGAGTGACTGCCATTGTGTGCTAATAGCTACTTTAAATAGCACCAATTAGCCAGAAGCCTGAGATGTTCAATCACTCTGAGGCTATTAGCCTGTAATCAGGTGCTGTTCAGGACCCGGCGTGTTCTGCTCCCTCGCTCCCTCGCTCCATCTCTCCCTGTCCATTTCTCTCTGTGGGGGGTCAAGGAAGCTGGAGGAGAGGGAATCAAGCCCCTTGATGACCATAAAATGAAGACTAAATGTTCATGGTTGAGAGGAAAATCGTATAGGACTAGATTGTGTTTTTAGTCTTGATAGGCTGCTTTAATGCAAAAGGGGGTGCTAACTGTTTAAATGACTGGTCAAATTGCGGGTACCAAAAATGGGAGGCACTGATGTCTAGATATAATGCTGTATTTACAACCAAATAAAGTTTGGACACACCATGCTTTTAATATTTATTATTACTGTTTGCCATTTAGAATAGCAGTATATCTATCAAACTATTGTTTACAGCCTTGAAAGCTCTGGACATTTTCCTTCTCTTCAAGATGTTCATGCTGAGATGCTTGTTAAACAGCTTTTGTAAATAGTTCCAACGTTTGCTTCATTATCTTTTTTAAAAATAAGCAAATAATTAAACATTACAAAATAATCACTTTCATAATATACAAACTGTAATTTAGTGAAACCTTTTAAAATGATGGCAAATCTTATTTTTTTATCAGCCATTTTTTCATCATTCTGATTTCATGCACAAGAAATAATTATGGTGACTGTGCTGCCTTTTTTTTACAATACTTTTTTAAGGATTCATAGTAAGTTGAAAAATATAATTTATTTGAAATATAAATATTTTTTAACATTATAAATGATAATTAAATGCATCTTTGCTGAATAAAAGTATATGTCTTTTAAAAAATTATAGATAGATAGATAGATAGATAGATAGATAGATAGATAGATAGATAGATAGATAGATAGATAGATAGATAGATAGATAGATAGATAGATAGATAGATAGATAGATAGATAGATAGATAGATAGATCATGTTATATCGGAAAAAACATTTAAGCTTTTAGATGTAATATTTTTTAAGATCATGAGCAACATCAATCCAGTCGAGCGTGTCCGAACGTTAATTACATAAAGAATCTTAAAAATATTGATCTTATATCTATTACTGTCCAAACTGGCCTGCTGTTTTTCAAATAATGACTTTTATTATTGAATACAGTTTGAAACAGACAGATGCGCACACACACACATTTACCCACACGCGCACACACAATGTCATACTGTCTCACACCTGTTCAAACAATCCCGACTTTACAACAGAAGCCCAAGCTGCTTGTTTTGATAATAACACTGTTGGCCGAAAACATTTCCAGACCACTGATCCTTGTTTGACTGCTGCTCTGTTGAGTTTGACCAACGCTACACGGAGGCCTTTTCTTATCAAACAGGATGTGATCATTTTCCACAGTTCCCTCTTCACTGCTTAGAGCCAGACAAGACGCCACCAATCAAACAAACAGAGCAATGCAGACTTATAAACACGCTTTCCCACTTGCTGGTGGAAAACGATTATGGAAAGTACTATGACGATCAAAATGATTACTGTTTAAGTGGAAAAAAAAGGAAGCGAGCAATGTTGTGATGTTTTCACAAAATATTCCGGAATATTAATTGAATTAATCTGTTTAATTGACTAGAATCAGCTGATCACAGACCAGATGATTGACAGCTCGGGGAGGAGTGCCTGTTTCCATTGTGTTGGTACTTTGTGCTACACCTGAACAACATTGCAGTAAGTTGAATTTGTGTGTAGTAGCAACACAGGTGCATTTTGTACCTGCTGGGAATGAGGGGCCCTCAGGAGCCTCTATTAGTGTGCGCGGTATAGCATATTCCCTTGCTCTTTTGGAATTTTTCATTTGGGTGAGGCTGAAATAGCTGAGAACCACAAAACCTGAGAATCTGAGAACATGTGACGCTGTGACCCCCAGAGCATGCTGGGAGACGCTGCAAATCTGCAGGCGGTATCTACAGCATCCCACGGACATCTCCGGGCTCCGTTGTTTTTAACCTTGAGAGGGATAAAGAGAGAAAAGGGGGATTTGCTCACCGTGCAAAAAACGCTTGAGGTTTTCTTTTGTCGGAATTGATTTTACTATGCAAACAATGTTAGCAGAGATAAAAACGTAGAATAACCTGCAGAATCTGCATATTTGGTTGAACTGTCTTATTGTTTTTTTGCATAATCTACTCTAGAATAAATCAGTCCATTAGGGGGCACAATCAGAGAAGAGACTGCAGGCTCGAGCGTAAGAGTCCACAGATAAACAATGAACAATGCAATAAAAGGGAAAAAAAATCTGGTTTCATTTTTATTAAAGATTTTCAATGTAATTCTCTCTGGTTGGAATATTCAAATAAAAAGATGAGCTGGTATTGTTTTTCTATTGCAGTTTTTCTAAACTGACAAAATAGTCAGATCATTTTATCTCTAATATAATATTAGACATTAGAGCATAATATTTTTGTCAATTTATCACCATGTTTTTTGGGGATTCCTGTGAGTATCCGTGTTCTAACAGTGAAGGCCGCCATACAGTACCTTAAGTGATGTCTGAAGTCTAAAAAAAATTTGAATCTTTTTGTTTGCAAGCAAGAAATAACAAACAACAGAACACCAGATCCAGGACAGAGAGAGAAAAAGCCGAAATAAATGACAGTCTTGTTGAAGACATTTTTCATTCCCTCAAAGATGATCTATTTTATCCACTGTGGTTACATTATGAATACAATCACATGAACTGAGACTTTAAGTGATACGCTAAGGGGAAAAAAGGTAACCTAAAAATGTGCTTCATCTAAATTAATTGATTTTAACCCAATAAAAAAAAAAATGCTATTTAAAATTACCGAATTAACCGAAATATATTAGGTTACACCAACTCATTTAAAACAAAGATCAGGTAGAAATATCTCTTTACCGTAACAATTGCAGGTTACTATACTTTTTACGATGTATAAAACTATTTTAAAAATAATGTTTCCGTTGGCAAAAAGGGCCAACTTGAATTAGAAATGAAAAGGTTCTCAAAAGATCACACATAAAGCAGCAATTTGAGATGTTCACCTAATGGAATAATAGTAGAACAGGACAATATCTGCACACATTTAGGCCTGAATTATGCATGCTATGAAATTATTTTCCATTGTGTACAATTTGTATTCAAAACAGGGTTTTGTAAATGCCTTTCTCTTATGCGTGAGTTATTGTTTAGAAATGTTTTCATTTCAAATAATGTATTCTATAAATTGGAATATAATAACATCCCATGCCTTCAGCAAAGCAGCGCTAAAGTGATGTTAACTGATTTAAATGAAACAGTTTCTACCACAGGAATCCAATAACAGTTTAATGTATGCTTTTAGTAATTGCGGCTCACAGCTGATTTAATGCACAGAAAACCGAGCACAAGCAAATCCGTTTATGATGTGAGACCTTTATTAGCAGAACATCATGTAATCATTCACTACACTTATGTGAAAACACAATATTTACAGAACGAAACATTTTCGATAAAAAATATTTTAGAATAATTACAATCAGCTGGTTGAACATATATTCTCTTACACGTACATTTATAGAACATCCTCGTTGTTATGTACAGCATTATTTAAGTCAACACTTATCGTAGTTCTTTACAATATTAAACAGCAGGGAAATCCCTGTTCAGCACAAATCACCTGACGATAGATGTCAGATGTTTACATTTTCATTTTGAGTCATAAAGCTTTACAGTCTGATGGTTTTAGTAAAATTAGATGCAGGTTTTTTCTTCTTTTCTTTTTTAAATCTGAGGTGTCTTGTTCAAATTAAAATTTCAGTGGTGTGAAAGGGAGGGAGAGGGGGGTGGGGGGACTCTCTGTCCAAATTCAGCATTTCCCCCCCTGAGAGAGAACAGAATGGGCACAGGAGAAATCTGGCTGGCTTCACCGCATCTTTGACAGCTGACGTTAAAATGTTTACATATTATGATTTAGTAGCTATTAGTTTCAGTGCTGCTCCCCTGCGATTGGGCCTGGTGTGTGTTGGATTCCCTGGTGAAGCTGGGCTTGGCTTTGGATGGGTTCAGTGCACACCTGTGAGAGAGGAATGAATAGAAGGGGTGTGTGAACTGTGTGCTCCAGACTGACTGGCGCCACCGACAAAACAGAGGGCATGCTTGATCAACAACCCAAAACAAACCAGGTCAAACAACAAGCGCAGTGCTACACGGGGCCCGGACCGCTAACCTCACACACACACACACACACACACACACACACACACACACACACACACACACACACACACACACACACACACACACACACACACACACACACACACACACACACACACACACACACACACACACACACACACACACACACACACATATGCACCCGCTCCAACACACAGCTGCAGGCCAAACGTCCCTGACGCTTCAGTCTGAAGCTACCAACAAACCCCCCTGTTAGCAAGACCACCACAAGATGGACAGATATTGCGTAACGTACAGCTGGGTTCGAGCGGCTGCCAGAGTTACAGTCCAGACAGACTGTCACAAAAAACAGCATTCATACTAACAGGAATATTATGGTAATAACTTCCATCTATGAGGTTTTTACTGTCATGACTCTATTAATAATGGCCATTGCAGCTGCGTTAGAAGTCTGTTACCCAATTATCCTGACAGTTCAGCCCTGTTCTTTAGCTGTGGATTCTGGGTAATGAAAAGCATTTTTGTGGCTGTTCCCGCTGCTGCATTCATGTGTCCAAGCTTGCCTGAAATAGTCTTAATGCGGGACGATTCAAATACTTGGTGTATTTTAATGCAGGCGCTTTGTTGCATCAAAAAGAAAGTGTCAAAATAGCAACTGATTTAGCAACAAAAATGTGGAAATATTTTGACAACAAAATTCTACATTTGAAATTATTTTGTTTAAAAAAAAAAATGGTAATGATATAATTAGTGTAAATTCAGGAGTCCTGTTTTAAAAGTAAAGGAACGTGTGATAATGATGGGAAATCATAAAAATAAATACAAGGTATATTCATGATTTGAAAACCAAATGCAGGACTACGAATAGAACCGATTCTCTTTAGACCCAGTGAGAATTCCCTAGTGTATCGGAAGAATTATTATACGTAACCACACATGAGACGTGAAATGAGCCCCTTTGAGAATATTTCATATTGAACTTTTATGTACTCACCGGTGTGCAACATTTCAGCGACACAAAATCGAGTCCTCCTTATTGACACCCGTCGTCCTCTGAAAGCAAAGGAAACAGGTGCGTTCATTCTTACTGCGGATAATGGTGAGGTGACATGAGGGCCACAATAACCATCAGTAAGCTATTGTACATGGAGTCAATTAAAATGATAATGATCATAGAGGAGATCATATATCATAAATATACATATATTTACACACACATGCAAAGATTTAGATGTAATACAATATGCATACATATCTCTAAGATGATATATATTATACATGAAGGCTATAAATAAGATTAGATAGATGAACAAAATTGAACACTAAAAAGACATTCAATTGTTTTACCATTTTGGCAAAGAACAAGGAAACAGGCCTCCAGCAGTCTGGTCTACAGCATCTTATGTGGTTTGGTGCAGTTAGAAACACACTATTGTCACTTCCGTGCGTAATGAGGCTACCGAGCCTTTATCAGTGCCTTTATTGCCATTATCAGCACAGTCTTTAAGTAAATGTTTCGGGTCCTGCTTACCTGCTCTGTGTTGATCTGTGTGAGAGGGGTCCGTGTGGAGGCGGGTGGGCTCGTCTGTTTTAGGAGAGACGGGTGCGTCTCCAACGCCAGCTGCAGGTCCAGGATATAGTCAATGACATGCTGGAGGATCTCCACTTTACTGACTTTCTTATCCTGCGGAATAGTGGGCACCAGGCGCTTGAGTCGGCTGTAGCAGTCGTTCATGTCGTACTGCAGACAAAAAAGATCCTCCTCTTCCATTTTGCATCGGCTGCGCTCCGTCAAATAACGCAAGGGGAGCTGACTGCAGCCAGAAGAAACCTTGTGAGGGCGAACCGGTGCGCTGGCCTTCATTTTAATAAATAAAACCACAAAGAGCTAAACGAGAAAGGGGAACGAAAACAACAAACGTGCGCGGGACGCAACAAGAGGTTTCGTGTAAAAACGCAATTTAGTGCACGCAAGAAAAGAAGAGCAGTTCTATCCTGACCACATCTCCTCTCCGAGTGTGAACGCACTGTGTGAGACAGCGGAGGAGTTGAGGCTGGTCATATATAGAGGAAAAGGGGAGGCGCCACCCGCTCGAGCTTTGACAGTCACTGCGCGAGGAGAAACCGGTCAGTCACGAGCTCCCGTGATGATGGAGCAGCGCGCGACCTGTAACTGCGGAGGGGCTCGAGCGCACATAAGAGGCTGCTGAGTGAAACCTGTGTGTGTGTGTGTGTGTGTGTGTGGGTGTGGGTGTGTCCGCGTGTGGATTTATGTATGTGTGTTTCCAAAACAGAGATAATGAAAAAGATACAAAAAATGTTTCTTCGCTGATAATGAACAAACATAATTTCATTGTTTGCCTACATGGTGCTTTTAAACTACCGGGGCAAGTTGTCATAATGGGAATTTTCACAGAGGTAATATCCCAGTAACTCGTTTTTCTAATCAAAAATCTAATTATGAAAATGATCCATAAAAGTGGTTTTGTAGGCTTATGTTGATTTCATCCACCTAGTTCAAAACCCCCTTAAATTATTGTAAGGCTAATTATTGTGGATTCAGTTCCTCAAGTTAAAATGTTATATAGCTTTTGAACTAAACAAGTGAACACATTTAAACTTTACTATTCAATCAAGGGGCAACTATAAGCAGATTTGAACTGAAATTGCTAACACTTTACAACAATAGGATAACACTTTACAATTAGTTAACATTTAGTAATGCATTAACTAACATTAACAATCTTTGTTAACTTTAATACAAATACAAACTGTTCATTCTTAGTTCATGTTAGTGCAGGTCCATTAACATATTTACAGATACTATTTATTTGTAAGCTGTAAGGACCATTGAAAAACTGAAACAATTTGGTGAAGTGATATGGAAATATAATATAGTCAAGACCTGCCTGGAACTACTTTAGCAGTGTGTTGAAAATAACTGCACACCTAATGTTCATTAACCAATCAGAATCAAGCATTCAACAGCCCAGAAGTATACATTTATAATTGAACATACAGTAATGGCCTGTTGACAACTATTATAAAGTGTTGCCATAAAAAAAATTATTATTATTAACATGATTGGAAGTATGGAAGCTATGCCAATGAACTGAAAAATCTCTCTAATTACAGTAGGAAAGCAATTTTGTAAAACATTTTGTTTAAAACATACAAAAAGGAATCAGTCAATATTCATTTGCAAAATTCTTGTGAAGCGATCAAACACTTCACTTCACATTGAAGCACTGAAAGAGCAGGATGTTGTTGATGTTTATGACAACATCCAGTTGCTCATAAAGGCTATGATTGGTCATGGAGTCATGAACATTAACATATTCTAGGCATCGTTCTTTCAAGAATTCTCCAGAAGAGGTTTTTGTTTATGTAGAGTGAATGAATCACCATTTAGCCTAACTCATTTCATTCGTTTTGTGTGCCAGCCTTGCCACAGTGCAGAGCCATATTCCCATAGTCTTTATCGTAGATTCATGGGTCTCGCACTACAGACGGACCGGCGCCGTGATGTCACTTATTCACAGCAGCCCACTTTCAAATAGTCTCACATCTGTGGCAAGTTGCCAAGGCGATGGAGATGCTTCCCCCGCTGGTGGCAACAAGTTAGAATCCGCTTTCCCTTTCCTCTCACTTTGATGCATGGAATCGTGTGGCGTTCTGCCTGGCTAGAATTTGTATGTGTGTGATATGTATTAGGTAATCATGAGTCTTTGTCATGAAAAATTCTACTTGCCTTCTGCAGGTGGGTTGGCCAAACACCCTGCAGCTTAGCAGGTGCAAAGAGTTTGCAAATAGCGCTATCCGTCATGTTCTGAAAAGGGGTCCTCAAAACGGAGCGCTGCCGTCCTCCTTTGAAAACAAAACCACTTACGATGCATAAAGCTCTGCAATTAGCACATCACAACAAAAATCCTCGGCATTCTATTCTTGTTTAGTCAGAACTTGCTTTGGTTGGTAATACTTCATTTAAAAGGCAACGTGCAGTGCCATTACAGGAATGTTTGTCACATCACACATCCAACTCAGGGCTGAGAGGCTTTAAATAGATCATTATATTCAGCAATCAGTTTGATTACAAACAAAAACATAGATTAAGAATGAAAATAAGTGATTTTATAATACATAAATACAGTACATTACAATATTTTCTATTATTCTCCATCTCTCTCTCTCTCTCTCTCTCTCTCTCTCTCTCTCTCTCTCTCTCTCTCTCTCTCTCTCTCTCTCTCTCTCTCTCTCTCTCTCTCTCTCTCTCTTTATCTACACACACACACACACACACACACACACACATATATATACACTCACCTGGATTATTAGGAACACCATACTAATACTGTGTTTGACCCCCTTTCGCCTTCAGAACTGCCTTAATTCTACGTGGCATTAATTCAACAAGGTGCTGAAAGCATTCTTTAGAAATGTTGGCCCATATTGATATGATAGCATCTTGCAGTTGATGGAGATTTGTGGGATGCACATCCAGGGCACGAAGCTCCCGTTCCACCACATCCCAAAGATGCTTTATTGGGTTGAGATCTGGTGACTGTGGGGGCCATTTTAGTACAGTGAACTCATTGTCATGTTCAAGAAACCAATTTGAAATGATTCGAGCTTTGTGACATGGTGCATTATCCTGCTGGAAGTAGCCATCAGAGGACGGGTACATGGTGGCCATAAAGGGATGGACATGGTCAGAAACAATGCTCAGGTAGGCCGTGGCATTTAAACGATGCCCAATTGGCACTAAGGGGCCTAAAGTGTGCCAAGAAAACATCCCCCACACCATTACACCACCACCACCAGCCTGCACAGTGGTAACAAGGCATGATGGATCCATGTTCTCATTCTGTTTACGCCAAATTCTGACTCTACCATCTGAATGTCTCAACAGAAATCGAGACTCATCAGACCAGGCAACATTTTTCCAGTCTTCAACTGTCCAATTTTGGTGAGCTCTTGCAAATTGTAGCCTCTTTTTCCTATTTGTAGTGGAGATGAGTGGTACCCGGTGGGGTCTTCTGCTGTTGTAGCCCATCCGCCTCAAGGTTGTGCGTGTTGTGTCTTCACAAATGCTTTGCTGCATACCTCGGTTGTAACGAGTGGTTATTTCAGTCAAAGTTGCTCTTCTTTCAGCTTGAATCAGTCGGCCCATTCTCCTCTGACCTCTAGCATCAACAAGGCATTTTCGCCCACAGGACTGCCGCATACTGGATGTTTTTCCCTTTTCACACCATTCTTTGTAAACCCTAGAAATGGTTGTGCGTGAAAATCCCAATAACTGAGCAGATTGTGAAATACTCAAAATTGCTTAAATCACCTTTCTTTCCCATTCTGAAAATTCAGTTTTGAGTTCAGGAGATTGTCTTGACCAGGACCACACCCCTAAATGCATTGAAGCAACTGCCATGTGATTGGTTGATTAGATAATTGCATTAATGAAAAATTTAACAGGTGTTCTAATAATCCTTTAGGTGAATGTGTATATATATATATATATATATATATATATATATATATATATATATATAAATAATAATATACATAATTATAGCCTAATATACATATTTGCAGCTTATTAATATTTGAAAAACTTTTTTCCACCAAATTAAAGTCATGTGGTTTTACCAACATTAAATAGGAAATGACATCACAGAGATGACCCCTCTAGACCCTCATGACTGTGTGTCACGGTTAGTCTTTTACAATTTCACATAATTTGTCCTTTTGATGACAAAGAAAAATTAGGGTAACACTTTAGAATACTGTTCCTTTATTAATGAATTTACTACAAAGGAACAAATGAGTAATGCAATATTAACATTCGAGTAACTACTATTAACAAGAAACTCTGATTAACGAATTGGTAGCGCTCAGTTGAATGTGGTTATGACCACCATTAGCTAATCAGTAACAACTGTTTTTTTCATACCTCCCGGAGAACTACAAAGAACTACTGGTTTACAGTTGTTAATACGTAGGTATTAATACTTTCAAAGACACAAAGCTTGCTTTTTTTGTTCATTTGGATAGATGCTGAAACGTATAGTATGGATGTATCTGCAACATTTAAACTTAGCATTATTATGTTTTTACAGCTACAAAACGTTAAATATTTACAAATCTTTTGTATCATAAAGATATCTGTATAATTTCCCTTTTACCATTTTATAGATAAATGTAAGATCCCTTAACCCTACTTCCAAACCCTAAACATACCCATTTTATACAGAATATAAGATATAAAAGATATTTTGAGCCGCTAGACCTACTCCTACCCCTAAACCTACAGCCATTTCTTAAAACTACGTAAAGTTATGAAAAAAACACAATAGACAGACAAGTGTAATCACAATAATTTATTTATTGTGAAAATGTCAAAAGCGGTACCAAAAGTGATTCACATGACGATGTGTTGCAGTCGCAGTCCTCTCTGGTGGTATATAATAGTTTTGTATGAGGTACAGAATAGAATTTAAAGTCCCTCTGCAATAATTTGATCCCTTAAAACTCATCTTTGATCACTAAAATGACTAAAATTTTCCTTTAGAAAAAAATTCTTTTTGCCTTAATAGCTTGAATGTAACTCTACACCCATGCCTCATTTAGTATACGCGTTTCTATGAATATGCAAATTAACCCCGCCTCCACGCACTCACACGAGCTCAGAGATCCCCTTGTTGATGATCACACGTTGACGTGATTGGTTACAAAGTAGTTTGTGACGTCAGAAACACCAGCGATTTCAAACCTCGTTTTTGAGACTGTCTTTGGTTCACTGCAGTTTTAAGGAGAAAATACTCAGCAATGATTTTGACATATGAATTTGTACTCCGTGAAGGCACGCAATTCCCAATTTCAAATGTACATCAAAACAGCATGTCACTATCTTTGACGAAGCAACCAAGAGCCAATGAGCGTTTGATATCACTGCCGTAAAACATGTCGCAACGCTTCTTGAGGGTGAAGTTTTTGAATTTATGTTTTTGAATTTATGTTGTGTTTTAGTGTATTTTATGGTTCTATTGCCAGTCGCTGTATGGAAGAAACACATTCTATGAGGAGAAAATGCATTTTGTGTCTCACGGCAAACAAACGAATGATAAAAA